TTTTTTTTCATTTTTTTTAATTCTGGTGATTTTTTAATTTTCTCATGCATTACTGTTGTCAAAATTGAACAATTATTTTACTCTTAGTTCCCCCCTCTCAGAAAAACTAGGGTCCATGGATGGCAGTACAAACTATGCTTCTTTCTCGTTTTCCTTTCACACCTTTAATAGTAGTCTCTGGGAATTTTCACACTGGTCTTTTAAGTTTTTACTGAATCATTGATGAATTTCTCAGGCAGCCGAAAGATGTGGTAAAAGCTGTGAAGAGGAGATTACAACATAGGAGCTCTAGAGTTCAATTACTAGCTCTCACGGTACTTTGTTGGCACTGGCTTTTGGTCTTACTTTTCTGTATTTGGGTCAAGTTGTTTGTGGCCGTGTTCTCCTGAATTGGCTAACTTTCAAATTCATTTGTTTGGAGCTTGATTTCTGGTTTCTGGTTGTCTACCCCCAGCTGCTGGAGACAATGGTAAAGAACTGTGGTGATTTTGTTCACTTTCAAATTGCTGAGAGAAACATACTGGAAGAGATGATTAAAATCATAAGAAAAAAGGTAAGGTGATTTTAGTTGGAAATTTAAGGTGTGTTCCTGATTCAGTTTGTATATTTGATGCTTGAAAGAAATTGTTGTTGCATTCTTCATGGAATTTGTGATTATAAATGCAAACGTCAGGATTTAATCTATTTTGCTATTATGACATCTGATGGTGTAATTGTTTGAAGTGCATTCTACCTAATTCAATTTATTTCCAAATCAAGTCCGGCGGCTACTGCTGTACATTGTTAATGACCAGTATCTTCTAGTTTCCTTTTGAGATTTCCTTGCTATATGATTCTAGATTAGATAGGTTACTGGATCATTGGCTCAAACCTATCTGTGTTAAATGTATGCGGGAAGTATTTCTCTTTCAAAATAGTTGTAATGTTGAGTTGAACAGTTGTAGAATCCATCTACATGTTGATACGTAAATATAAAGATTTTTTTTTATTGGTAAATTCACCAGGCTTTTACTTATCAAAACAATCTTAATATTTACTCATCAAAATATGGATGGGTTCTATTTCTGTTAAATTACTACCATTTCGTGCAATTTTTTTTTGTTTGATTTGTCTTGTTTTAACATGAAATACATGTAATGATTCTTCAGGCAGATATGCAAGTGAGGGATAAAATCTTAATGCTGCTGGACTCATGGCAAGAAGCATTTGGGGGACCAGGTGGTAGTCATCCTCAGTACTATTGGGCATATGAGGAGTTAAAGGTAGCTGTCTAGTTGATAAAAGAAATTTATTGATTTTGTCAATCTCTCTTCGTTGATAGTTTCATGTGAAAGTGGGATGCTAGATTTTCAAAATTATATAATTGGCATTTGTGAATGTTCTGTAAATGATATCGGACTCATCTTAAGGGTGAGATCACAAATTTTAAGAAGATACTTTTAGTTCTTATTATAACAAGTATACAAATTTGTATTTTGTAGTTAAATGCGTCACCTCAAAAAACACATTTGCCTACAACTCTAAAGTGTTCTTGCAATTCTTTAGTGACAAATGGGTGAATTTTAATTTTTTATGGTTCCACCACATACTTTATACCATCAACATCTCAGCTTGGAGAATTGTCCCCTGGCAAAAGCCAACCATCATCCCGTTTGTTCCAAATTTACATTTACATTTTAAGTACAGGATAAAAGATTACATTGATATGTGAGCTGTAATTTAATGAGCATCAGATTATATCATCATAATATTAAGTTGAATTATATGAATGGCAGCGATCTGGAGTAGTTTTTCCAAAGAGATCACCAGATGCAGCTCCAATATTTACTCCTCCTCCTACCCATCCAAATATAAGAAGTATGCAAGCTGGATATGGGATGTCGAGCAATTCATCTAAAACACTGGATGAAACTATGGCTACTGAGATAGAAAGTTTGAGGTTAATGTTGACCTTCTATTTTTTCCATTTCAACCTTGCTTCCCCTGCTGTCCTTTGTGACAGAACTTCTGTGTGCTATCAGATGAGTCTTTAAGCTAACTTTTCTTGAAATACTCAGTATGTCAAGCTTGGAGTCCATGCGACATGTTTTGGATCTTTTGAGTGACATGTTGCAGGCTGTGAATCCTAGTGATCGTGAAGTAAGTTAAATGGTTTTCCTTGGCCTTCTGAATCCTCCTTTCTTGAACTGAAACGATTTAATATCTGATTTTTATGCTTTGTAGGCGGTAAAAGACGAGGTGATTATTGATCTAGTTGATCGCTGTCGCACAAACCAGAAAAAGTTGATGCAAATGCTAACTTCAACTGGGTTAGTTTTACTCGGCTTTTCCATCTGGCACACACCCAAATATACTTGATTGTTACTTCGTGAAGTCTGTCCACTTATATGTGGAATAATCTTTTATCACCTTGGTTTTGTCATAGGGACGAGGAGCTTCTTGGACGAGGCCTCGAATTAAATGATAGTATTCAAGGTTTGCTAGCTAGGCATGATGCAATTGCTTCTGGTACTGTGTTTCCAATTCAAGGAGCAAGTTCCAGCGCTGTGCCAACTGAAGTTCAACCAAGTGTAGATCAATCCAATGTTAACAGCTCCACCCTTGGAGAGGCTTCTTCAACGCTTAAAGCTAGCTCTTCAGCCGTAGTGCTTTCCGAAACCCGGAGCCAGAGTGATGAAGAGGAAGAAGATGAATTTGCACAGCTAGCTCGGAGGTCCCTTAGAGCTGATACTATATTTAATATTTTGTGGCTCATGGTTATTGAAACCTGTTTTTCTTTTCAGTCTTGCTTGCTTATAACTTATCTAAGAAACAAACTAGTTTAGAATATATGTTTAGGTCTTTTAAGTATAGACATGAATGGATAAGCATGCACAAATCGTTGTATTAAGCATGTATTTTCATTTTATACTTCCACGCATGCTATTTCATTCTCTCCTACAACTATTTTTTAGAAGCCCCAATTTTGTAATAGAATTTCTTGTAAAGCCCATATACCAACATATATTGCAGGTCATGGGTGATGAAATTGTTCTACCGTGTCAATAATTTTTTATTTAATGTGAACTCTTTACTATTGCAGGCATTCTAAGGCACAGCCAGTGATTTCAAATGATACCGCAATTGGTTCCAGCCAAAACTCAGTGTCAGTTAACACTACCAGCACAACTCCACATGTTCCAAATCCCGCAACTTCAGTTCCATCCAATGCATTAGTTCTTTCCAACCCACCTGCCCCAGTTACTACTGCAAAGGATCAGGACATTATTGACTTACTGAGTATTACTTTGTCAGTGTCACCATCCCCACAGACAAGTTATGCATCGTCTCCACAGACAAGTTATGCACCATCAGCCTCTAGCCAAGGCATACATCAGACACCTGTTCAGTCCACATCAGAAGGGTATTCTTTTGCTTCCCAAACATATCCGGGAAATCTGTCATACAACAGTTACGTTGTCCCTTGGGCTCAACCTCAATCTAAGTCAGAATTTCAAGCCCAGCCTCAACAACAATCGTATCAATCCCGGTCTCAATCCCCAACTCCACCCTCATCTCATAATACACATTATGAATTTGAACAACAGCACCATCAAACGACCCAGCAGGACCGGTCTCAGCCCCAATCTGAGCAATTGCAATCTCAACCAGTACTACAATCCCCACATGTATTGCACCAACAACCTCAACATAATCAATATAGCTCTCATCAACAACATTTGCAACCTCATAATGAACAGCAACCTCTACAGTATCAGCCGCAGCACCAAACACTGCAATCTCAACCCCAACAGCATTCACAGTATCAGCCCCAAACGGTACAAGGTCATCAGCCTCAAACTCAACCTCAGCAACAATTTCAGAATCAACCTCAGCAACAGCAACAATTTCAGAATCAACCTCAGCCACAGCAACAATTTCAGAATCAACTTCAGCAACCGCAACAATTTCATAATCAACTTCAGCAACCGCAACAATTTCAGAATCAACATCATCAATACCCTGCAAGATATCCTCCCCCACCATGGGCAGCTACACCTGGATATGCCAACTATCAAAATCACTCTCCTGCTACAAATTTGATTTCAACACAAGCCAATACAACAGTATCGTATCCTTTAGCTCCAGGAGTAAGGACGCCCGTGCTACACAATAATTCATTATCTGCCAGAGGTGGTGTCGGTGGAACTCCTGCAAGTGCAACTGGACAAAAGACTTTTGTTCCATCTTATAGGCTATTTGAAGATTTGAATGTTTTCGGAAACACAGATGGAAAGGTCAGTGGTTCATCATCTGGCTTGTCAGGGACAATGGGACCTGGTATGATTGGTGGGCGTAAGTGAAGTGTTGTCTTATGTAAAAAAATGTATTGATATACTGTAAAAAATGGGACCAGAAGTATTGTTTGCAGCTTCTCATTTGCATCTTATGGAAGCTCTCTAGATCGATACAAGTGACTCTTCCTATTCTGAGTAACAACAGATCATAAAGTTAAGCTGAGTCTTACCTCAGACGACAGACTTTGAACATTCTTTGATGTAATATTTTAGTTTCTTGTAGTGGTTTTCGTACTTATGTTCATTGATTGATCGTTAACCACTATAAAGGGCACTTAAAATGCGGACACGTGTCGAATGTCATTAATTATTGAGAACATATTCCCTTGTAAGATAGGCTGCAAATCACGTTAGTTAACAGAAATCAATACAGATTGACAAGCCTGATGTGAATTTTTAACAAGGGCAAATTACTTTTCATCGCATTGGTATATACGAATCTGGATTTTGGATCAGTAAAGCGATTTAAGTGTGCAAAACTTTAGATCGGCTTAAATTCAGAATTTTCGAGCCATTCCGGCATAAACTAACGTGGCGCAATATATTTAGGGTTTTGGGATTCATATCCATTTTCGTTCCCTGGTATTTCTCAAGATATATTTTTAATTCCATTGCTCTTTTGTTGTAATATTTTTATATAATCTAGATGCTGTCATGCAAAGTTTTATTTATTTATAGAAATTGTTTTTTGGTAACTTAGAAGAAGGTGAATAAGGTTTCTAGGAAAATTGAGTTTAGGTATTTTTATTTTTAGAGAAGATAATCACTGTGAGATAAATAGTATAATATTATGTTATCTAAAATAGTTTGTGATTTCTTTTATAATAGATTTCAATTTTCTATATTTAGAGTTGTTTAGTTATTTTTAATAATTTTCATGTGACAAAATTATTATTATACTCTAAAGTGTTAGTTTAAGTGAAATGTTTACATACACCACTTTAACTAAAATATTTAATTTGCACTTGTTTTGATAGAGTCACTTTGCATTTTATTAGAAACTTTAAATCATACTCACTTTAAAAAAAATCTTTAAACTTTTTTGTGTGGATAAGCTTTCTTTAGATGTGGTGGGAGTAAATTTCAAACCCCACTCATGGATATTTTTTATTACTCCAACATTTTTCTCAAAATATTTCTATTTATTATATTCATCATTTAATCGAATTACATCCACACATATAAAAAAAAAACACAGAAACCAGTGATATTTTTGTAAGATTAACTATTTTTTTAATAAACTCAATATTCAATAACAAATAATAGGAGCCTAAAGTATGACCTAAGTCTATTGTGAAAAACACATCAATAACAATAATGGAGGATTGCATTTTGTAAGAAGAGACAACAGCCAAAGAAGCCATGGATGAACAGGAGAGAGAAACCTTTAAAATTCAAGATTCTCCATTCAAGGCACTTAAAAAAGGAAAAAGAGCAACCTTGATGCTTTGAATAGCTGCTTGAGAGGAGATGGGAATGCGACCACACATGATGAACTTTAAAGAGGAAAAAGAGCAACCTTGACACTCTGAATCATTTCTTGAGAGGAGACGAGACGTGTCACACGCACGAGGGAAAAGGAGCTGGAAGCATGTAGGAGCTTCGATGAAGGCATCATTGATGGCACGGTGGTCATCTGGCTGAAACGATAAAAATTGTGTGATCATCGGTTGAAACTGAAATTGTAGTAGTGGTAGTGGTAGACGACTACGGTAGACGATGACGCTGCCGAGAGTGGTAAATGGTGCCGCTGCTGGAAGTAATGGGTGTAGTGACAAAGGCAATAAATGGTTTTCCTAAAAAGATCCTTTGGCTCAGATACTATGTTGAATATAGTGAAAAACTATATGTGAGATTAATTTCCTTGTGTTAAATATATACATAGGGTCATCTATTTATAATAGAAGAAATATGGGTAAGCCCAAAATACAAATAAGAAAAAATAGCAAACTAACTAAAGATAAAAGATAAAGATAAGATAAACATAGTATATCTAATAATAAACAACAAAGTATATACTTGACATGTACAAAGTTAAGTAGGGACAAATCTTGAGCATTAATTTTGGAGGGTCAAAATTATTTTTAAACTACACATAATTTTAATGTTTAATCTCCATGCAAGGTCATTAAAGTTCATTCTCCATATATATCTTCCTCCTACAAGCATAATACATCACTATCATCTTGCACATGAGCAAATGGTACAAAAAAATTGTATCATTCTTAATCACCAACAATGTTGATAGAAAGTTGTGGATTTGGCAATAGAGTTGGGGAAGTCAAGGCTACCCCATCCTTATTAATATTTAGCCATATTGTTAAACAAGCTTTTTGAAGGGCTACATATAGTGAAGGGTTGTTAGATGCAACTTCAAACTGACAATCAAACTATCTAAAAACCTTTTCAAAATATGTCTTTCGCAAAGCTCTCCTTCTCAAATTAGTCAAAAATTAATAACATGTAATATGAAGAGGTAAAGGTTAAGGGAGATTTACATAAGATTTCATATACTGGTTTGTTTGGAAATCCAGACTATCTTCAGTTCTTAATCAATATGATCAAGTTCCAATATGGCATACTAAATTTGAAAGTTACAAAGCAAGTATTATTTGAATCCTACTAATTATAGCTAGACATGAATATTACTTAGAAGACAATCATTTTTGTATAAGACTAATATTCTTTGAAACGTAGTCACTCATAACAAACAATTAAGTATTATTTAAAACCCAGTCACTTTTGACTAAAATGTTTGAAACATAGTCACTCTTGATTAAAAAACCTTAAGTATTCTTTGGACAATAATGACTTCTCGCTAAAACTTGACTATTCATCGGAGCACAACCACTTCTTTATAAAACTTGAGTATTATTTAGAATGTAGTCACTTTTGGTTAAAACACAAAGGTTTACAAAGAAAATGACCTAAAATATCATTTGTTTGCCTAGTAAAAAGAGAGGTTGTCTTATGATGGATACAAGATGTATCTCACTCTTCTAGAGAGCCCTGAATACAAACATTGTTGTTCCGGACAAACAAAGGCCAATGATTGATAATGATAAGTGTAACACCCAAATAATTTGTAGGGTATTACGAGAAGTAAAACAAAATTTTAAATTTAACATGATATCAATACTTAAAACTTCATTTTGATTTAACATAAATATGATTTTAAACTTACAAACCTTAAACAACATAGTCTTCACAATTTCACATAAGTACAAATTTAAACTTACAAATCTTAAACAACATAGTTTTCAAATATAAATTTATTTTTATCAAAAAGCCCTTTAAAGTTTTTTCGAGCATGTCTCTCGTCTCTATGCATCTCCAACTGCATTTGTAACATCATCTGCTCACATATAACAACACGAGTTATATGATCATTGCACAAACAAATAAGAATGAGTTAACTATAACATACAATCATTGAACACACTCACCCTATATAATTCAATCATATATCATTATAATTTATACACACGATTACTTCAATGCCATTAATTCACTTTATTATATCTTTTATTTTATGTAACATATCACCCTCTAACTCCTCTCAAAGTCATGCTTCTTGTTTCCATAAACCTTACAAGTATACTATGCTTACTCCTGAAACCTTACGGTCAGACCTCTCGTTATGTGCTTCCATAAGCCTTACTTACAAGTATATTATGCTTACTCTTCGAAGTCTTATGGTCAAACCACTCTTTGCCTACTTCTATAAAACTGACGAGTACTTTGCTTATGTCAAAGCCTTTTGATCAGACTACTCTCTACCTGCTTCCATAAACCTCCTGCGTCACTCTACTTATGCTCAAAGTCTTATGATGGAAACCAAATACACTACTCCCGAATTTACAATTACTATAATAAAGAAATATACCTCATTTCATAGCTAACAATTCCCCATATTCATTCATCATCACATAATCAATGAATCATATTATCTCATCCATATAACTCATTCATATCCATTCATTTAATCGTAAGTTGGTACTAATCCATTTTCATCCCGTAAACATGTCAACATAGAAAATTTATAAATTGATTAGTCATATCCATATACCTGTTGACAAGATAATTATCATAGATCTTCTTAAAATATTTACTCATAACGAGTACAACCTCAACATAATTTTCCAAATCCAAGGTTATGTATCAACAATCCAAAATTATTATGACGTTACGTAGAAGTTTGTTCTTAATACATACCTCACATTGAAGATTTAAATGGGTAAATTACATAATAGTATATCTAGAATCTATGGTAAAATTTTCATTTCGATCTAATAAAGTGGAAATCTTAATTTTTGCATAGGTGGTCCAAAAATAGAATTTAGGTAGTGTTGAGATCATTGACACAACATAACTTCTTTAAATATATCTAATCAAAAATTCGAACGGTCAAAGTGAATTAATATGTCTTAGAGACTACATATCCAAATTTCACGTTAATCTAACGGTTATCAAGGTGGAAATTCTTTTTTTACCAAAACAACTTAGAGTTAAAATAAAGTAGTGATTAATTTACTAAAAAAACTATATTATTCCCTTTAAGTATAAATCTTAATTTAAAAATCTAGATGGTCAAGGTGAAATGATACGTGTTACAAATCATATATTAAAATTTCAGCTCAATCTAACGGTATACTCAGTGGGAATTGAGGTTTTATTATGGTAACTCAAAAAATAAAAAAATAAATAAGGAAAACATAATCAAAGATACCTAAACCCCACAATTGGACTGTGTATCTATCTCAACATCTTTATATCTCATATTCATAATAATAATCACAATTTATTTGAAATTCACATTGTTGATTATCTTTATATGAAAAGTTATTTTCCATTTTTGAAATAAGTTGAAAACTTGTTAAATAGACTTCCAAGAAAGAGAGGTGCGTTTCAATGGATAACTTAAGTACCTTGTCTTTCCTTAGTCAAAGTATTCCTCAACTAGTTTTCACAAATTTCACATCATTATCATCCTAAGGCATCGATCCAACAAAGAACATAGAATAATAAAAAGAAAGTTAACACTTACTTACAATATTTACATTTTCACATTCCCCTTACACCACAACAATTTTATACCATCAATGCTTATTACAAGATAATAACAGAGAAATGTTAGCTCCTCTTACCTGATTCTCTCTAATTCCTTGATGAGAAGCTCTTCCTACCTTTTCTATGATTCATATTCTTACTCCTGAGTGGCAGGTACGTTTTTTAATATTTTGC